TTTCGAATTATTGGTTGCATATTTAAATAATTTTTCAGAGTATATAAAATATACTTTCGTATATTATTAAGAGATATAAAGTAGCGTCTCGGACAATTGCACCCGCGAAACGAGGACGTACAAATCAAGATATACGATAACATTAAATGTTTTTGTACTGTATTCTCTATATATATACATATATATATATATTTAACGAATACAAAAAAAGTTTATTAGTGCTGTTAATTTTGAATATCTGGGTACCAAAATCTTTCAGTAATTAAGTATATGGTTGATTTCAGATGTTATTATATATATATATATATATATATATATATACATATAGAGAATACAGTACACATTTAATGTTATCGTATATCTTGATTTGTACGTCCTCGTTTCGCGGATGCACTTATCCGAGACGCTACTTTATATCTCTTAATAATATACGAAAGTATTTTATATACTCTGAAAAATTATTTAAATATGCAACCAATAATTCGAAAATATCTGCACAGTAGGGCTTAAATATTCATTCGAATCTGATATTATCTGAACGGATATCCAATCGGAGGATAGTTATACAAACAGTGGATAAACATGACGCTTTAAATCCAGATCCGAAATCGGGGTCAAAATTGAAATAGGATTTTAATTCGTGGCGGAGTCAACCAAACACGATCACAGTAATTTAGATCCCTCTCAAATATTTAATAATTTTATATGAGAAGATGTTAACACTTTTAACGAACTGTCAAGACGCATAATCTCCGCGATAATAGCCGTTCGCAATAACCGCAAATCAAAATAAGCAACGACACGCATCGAGATTGAAATTTGGAGACAATCAATCAATCAATCACCGCGGAAAAGAGGCTATAATGCTTCCCGATCTGGATCTCAACTCTGGTCTGAATTTATATAAATTATCCGTGTTACACACACACTAGAATAGTGCAAATTTGGGTGGTTGAATCGAAAACGATCTCAGATATTCGAATATTTCAGAGCCCTACTATACAATACGTGAGTGAGTAAATATTATTAATAAATTATAATAATGATGTTATTGACCGCGTTTATTAATGAGGAAATTAATTTATTTGTATATTCTTTTGGTATGATGTAATCAAATCACTAAGATAGAAGTTTTTGTTATATAGGATCGTATTTTGAATTTTTTCTTATCGATAATAGTGCTTAGCCTTAAATATGGCTTCTCAACTAGTGATTTCTAAGTCACTTTTAGAGGCACTTTTATTAATAAAAGGGAGATCAGAATACCGGCCACAATATATATATATATATATATTGCTATAGGTGTGTTCGAGGAGACACTATTTAGTGCTATCATTCTATCTTTATTACTCTTTACATGTACACAAGGATAGAATGACCCGGTAGCACTAAATACTGTCTCCTCGAACGCCCCTTATGTGAATAATAACATAATTATTATATAATAATAATAAATGTGTACAGTTTATACATTACCAAAAAAAACTTAGCTCTACAAGAATGTCACGATAATGTTTAGTATTTTGCAGTTTATCGTAAAGTCATCTTTATTTATATAATAAATTTATATAAATTATTTATATAAACTTATATAAATTATTTATATGAATTATTTATATAAACTTATTATATAAAAAGTATTATATAAATAAGTATGAAATAGATATTATCACTTCTATGTCATGTAAAAAAATACTAGTATGACACATGTATACTACACACAACATAATGAACGATGATCTTTACTTTAACGTGAAGTATCACTATATCTATTACAATTATTATTAATTATTTTTCATGTATAATTATCATTTATTAATAAAAAAGTGATGCTTTAGTAGCGAGGATTTTTACAATATAGCAGATATTCAATATTTAATTAGCATATTGCAATGACGAAATTGTATGTTAATGATACGATTATTTTTATATTTAGTAAATATTAATTACATACAAACACACACACATATATATAACATATATATTTTTTAAGACGTAGAGTTTATACGCAACAATATTAATATTGAAAATGATTTTTATTAGTTTCTGTATAAATCACTTGAAAGATGTATATATAAAGAGATAATAAATCTCTTTCGCGAAACTACTGTATTAATATAAAATATTTTTATTATATATATATAAGTGCACCCTGTTCAAAGTACATTGGTCATTGATAATATTTTATCGCGCTGTTTGCAATTAATCTTATTTGGAGAAAATAAAAATTTTATTGTTAACACTTGCCGATTTTTGTTTCGGCAAATCGAGAGAGATAAACAATATGCTTTGAATCCTAAATTTTTATAAGATAACAAACGGGTGATACTTCGAACTTTCACATAGACTAAGGCTACGGCCAGTTTGCGGCTAATATCATCCCTTGAGATCGTGCGTTTTACGCATCCGAGAGGAGTCTAGATGTTATGAAGCGGAAGTAATAGGAACGGCAGTCAACAGTAAAACCATAGAAAAGTGCAAACCGACCACAGGTCTGACATAGGCCATTCCACGATATATTCAAACTCGCGATAAATTCTTTCACGAAATATTCGCCTTCGAAGTCTATTTCATCATGTTTTGTAGTACAAGATTTACTTTCGATACTCCAACGATATTTCGGATGCGAGGCGGATCAAAAACGTGACAAAGCAGCAACTTGAATCCGGAATCGCCATAATGCGATGAACTTGCAAAAACCGCCCAATATTATCGGCGACTCGTTTTGCGAGATATTCTTGCGACAACCGTTTTATCATACAACAAACGCATGAAATTTTAGCTTTCAGCATTCCCGGTAATGACAAATCATTCGTGTAACTTACCTTGTGCAAGTCGAAACCACAGGATATACGGAAAGATTTCTCGAATCTGCATCGGCCATTCAGTGATCCCTTTCCTAACTGATCATAGTCGCATATCACTGTTATTGAGATCCTCGAAATATCGCGACACAGCCAATCACATTGAGCCGTTTGAAAAGTAACTCAAACATAGATCACGTGACCGCGTAGTTGTGGCAGTTCACGTCGTTGCGCGACGGTACGAGCGCGAATCGTGTCCGCTCCGTGTTTCTTGTATCTTTTTATCCGTTTAGAACAAAGCTCGCGCGCGATCGAGTATCAGGAGTACCGAATTGAGTAACGGGCGATAGTTTCAATAAATGAGAAAACCTAGAAACTTTTGTGTTACCTTAGGTGCGAAGAATATTTAACATATTAATATATTCACCTTATTAACGTATTGCTTCTTAACACTCGAGAGGTATATTGCGCAAGGACGATTCGCCCAGGAAGTCGCTGAAGAGAATGAAAACGGACGATGAAGCGTAAGCGCCGGTAAATATCGTTATTATATGAATAATCATGCGATAAAGCACGAGAAAATCAAGGCCGACACGTGTCGGTTTCGCGATGATTTCTCCACTTCCCTCCGGCGCTCACTGCCGCGTCGGTAGGAGACGAGGCTCTCTCGCAGATGCCGGACGCTCAATTACTTCCCTTTATAGTAAAATTCCTTCCGTGTAACGAGAGGGTCCGGAATGAATCTTAGTAATCGCGACGGTACTTTTTCAAACGTTTTTTCACCAGGAATTATGTTACAGCAAAGGGCTGTTATTAAGGACTAATGGATATCTCCTTTGCGGCGCGCGACAATCGATGTGTAAAGTGAGACGTCGCCCCGAACGATTTATCAACCGGATGTAAATGATGAAAATTCCTCGCCCGAGAGCGACGGAAGGAAAGGCGCCTCCCTTCCGCTTTAAACTTCTTTAACGTGAACACGTTCATGACAGCCGTAATGTATGTAATAGACGATTCGTAATAATAGCTATAATCGAGCCCGAGATTAATCATTCACGCGCAAAATATTCGTCCACCTGTTTGTCGCGCGTACGAAACGGCGAACCTTCGTGTCATCTTCGTTTTTCGACACAGGTAAAAGTGTCAATGTGACTCTCGTGGATTCCTATTTTATCTTGTTTTCACTCGCGCATCGTCAGCACACCTGGCTCTCTCTCTCTCTCTCTCTCGACCGTGCAAACACGAGGAAAGAAGCCGAACAGATGAATGAAGGCGAGCGCTCTCGAATACACCGAGAGCCGTCGGAAGCTGCTTAAGATGCGACACGAACGGTGTGAGTGCTGCCGCACTCGAGTGTATGGAACACGTCGGTCTACACATGTGTCCACCTTGTGTGTACAGCTGCACCTTTGGAACCCGTTATATTCGCGAATTCGACTTATTTATAATCTCTGACGAGAATAGCGAGTCTTTATTATTCTCCAACAATCGCGGGAACGGTCGATCCGTCAGTTGGGAACGGCTGTCACATTATTAATCACGAGGAGCACTTGTTAGGTTTGATTGAGCTGTAAGGTGTTTCGTGCGAAGATTTATAGAGGGAAGAGGAGACAATCGCGAGTATAAACTCATGAATTTATTGGATTAATGCGAAAGTGTATTTCGTTTCTTAAGTAAATGTATTTCCCATAAATCAAAATAACGAAAAAATTACAAGTTGATCTACATTGCATTTAAAAGCGACGCTAAAAGTTTGATAGCAATTCATAGCTTGGTCAAAAGATTAATCTTAATTTAACGGAAGTGAAATGAATTTGACGAAAATTCGATGAAACTTGCATTACGTATATTAAGATGAAAGGATGAATAATGTTCACTTTTCGATAATCTTGCTCTAATACTTTTAAATGTAGAATGAACAGAGGAATTGATTTGCGCTAAAAAAAAAATATACAATTCCATTAAAAAAAATGAAGTTGGCCTTCATTTGATTCCTCACCTAAGGTTAAATCGATAAGATTAGTAAATAGATCTTTTCAAGTCATCCAACTTTTATCTAAGATGTTTTTTCCAAAATTACATCGTTTACGAAATATTTGAATTTTAGCCCATCCTATATACAGGGTGATTCATAAATGCATGTCCATTTTCGGGGGAGGGGGCGGTGAATCTACCCACTAAAATAAGTAAAAAACATCATATAAACATATATCCTATATACCTCAGTTTTCGAGTTATGAATGATTTAAGAAAATGTGTCCGCCTCGTGCGTCAGCACATGCTACTGCATGCCTTAGCCTTATCTAATGTACGTTTTGACCTTATCTAATGTTTACAAACAACATTCATCGATATGAATCAGACATCTCAATCCATTATATTTTTATTTTTGGAGCCATTTAAAACCTGTTGGGTATTCGACGCAAGTGAACAATGTGCATGATCTACGAGAAAGGATACAATAGTAGCGCGTGTTGACGCGAACACTTCGAATATTTTCTTTAATCATCCATAACTCGGAAACTAAGATATGTAGGCGCTAACGGACGTTGCATCCCTAATCAGACGTTTTTTGCTTAAAAAATTCTAGAATTTCCACGAATATGCAGCTACCGGTGGGTCATCGGTCAAGATGGCGCATACTTAAAATCGACCGATTGGCTCTTAAAGAGCTAAGAGTGAATGTTTCGTGTATATTTTGAAGTAAGAAACGGAACGAAGTTTTGGCATCAATCCGATATTTACCTGTGATGTTCACGTGGGAAACACAGGCCTTTCCAGTTTTCACCCCACGTGCACCGCGCGTGACGAGCCGGGTTAGGGATTATGAGAACCCTCACGGGGTCTCAAGAATGCACGTTTCCGACAACCGTCCCGAGATATCTCAGATTGGGAGGCCAAATTCCGATCTTCGTCTCTCCTCGTCTCATTTTTTGTGAAGCTCGCAAGACTGCTCTTCTCTTCCTCCCTCTCCGCCACCTTTTTTCCCGCTCCTTGTTATCTTCGCTTTCCCTCTCCGAGAGAAACCTCGAGAATTTTCCACGGAGGAGATCGTTACAATCAACTTTTTTCTTTTTCTCTTCGCTTCGCGAGAATAATTCATTGTGCAACACACACGTTTATTCCTCTCTTCTCATTTAATCGATCGGTTACCGCATAAAAATCGCGATCGGCGAATAATTACTGATACACATTAATGCATATAATCCGCGATAATCAGCCTATCGATTAACAGAGCAGCCTGATAAGAGAGATAATTGAGTATTTTAACATGCGTCATTGAGATACACGCTTCCTGCTTTGTCATCTTGTATTAGTTCGTGTTTGATATCGATATGTTTTGTTGCGCGAGCTACATCTCGATCAAGTGTGATTATGTGACGTTCAGATTAAGCGTCGCGTATAACAGATTCGCCTCAGAACAGCCGCAATTATATCGTTCTCTCTCTCACACGGCGGAATATTTATTTTGCGACGAATAAATAAACGACTTGCCCTTTGTCACGCGAAAACAAATGCGAATCGTCTGACATATCGGGTCAATGGATGATATCGCGCCAGTGCACAGAGAAAAAGGTTTCTTTAGATTCAGTATTTCTATTTATTTGACTAAAATTTGTTTCATAGAAACAACATATGCTTATACGAAATATCATTTGTTTGAATACAAACTTTATCGTTTCATTTAAGATAACTCTATTATTTAAGGGAAAGGACGCTGTTATTTGAAATAATATCTTTCAACCAAATGAAATATTATTTGGTTACAATAAATATGTAAGATGAAATAAATAATTTCTTCATAAGAAAATTATCTTTCGTTTCGAACAACTTTTTTATTTAAGACAAAGATACATAGTCCATCTAACAATCGTACTTATTGATCGAAACATTAGTTGTTTTTGGAGCACGCCAATGATGAAATTTGTTTGGACGCAATAAATTTGAAGAAATCTCTTTCTCAGTGTACTTGTTTGCCGTCGACGAGTCTCTCTTCTTTTTATTGCGAACTGGCAAAAAAAGAAGACCGATAAACATAAATGAGTCTACACATGAGAGCGTCTAAGCATCTCGCCTATGAATCATTTCTCCACATTGAAATTCTCCACGGCGGCGGTGATCGCGCGCGCAGTTCGCGCTGACATTTACGATCTTGCATGCTCCTTTTGTATCGCTTCTCATTTCGGCAAGAATCTCGTCGGCAATTAATGCCACGCATATCAATATCATGCATTGCTATAAAAACGTGCCGTTTTATTAATTAGGTGTCGAGGACGTTGATATAAATTTAAAAAAATTCACGCATTCGGTGTCCCGATTCGGATGAAGCGATTGAATCGCTACCGAAGATATTTCGCCGAAAAGGAACGTTTCGTACTGAGAAAAAATGGCGGAATCAACAAAATTTTACGTTTAAACGAACGAAATTTTTTCAAGCGCAATGTTTCCTCCACTGAGCAGATTATAGAGTTGCCGATTAATGAGTTATCAATTAATTCAACGATTGTGATTTGATTGGCGACTATACATAGGCAGCATGAAATTAGACCGACAAATTTCGGATGCTTGTAAAAAAGTCCTTCTAATGTTGTACACAACATTGTTGTTAACAGTATTTGACCGAGATGTTAAAAATAATATGTCTATCATTATGATTTTAATATTTAAGAGTATTATATTATCAAGTAACAATTTATAAAAACATTTATCAAATATTATATTAAAATACTCATAAAACCAATATTTCAAAAGATTGATTTAACGTTTCTTGCTTACAGGGTAGCAGTAAAAGCCAGGACAAAGGAAAAATTACTTGTAAATGGCCAACACTTGGAACAACCGCTGGAAATAATTCATCCTAGTGTTCGAAATGGCTCATTTGCGCGGGCACCGATTTATCGAAAAGAATTATTTGCTTTTACACACAAAAGCATCCGAAGTTTGTCGATCTAATTTCCCGGACACCCTGTATAAACGCAACGCGTAATTTATTCGACGGGCACGAGCATTTTTTCGAACGAGGACGCCGATTCGACTGCTTTTTTTTTCTCTCCGTGCGGAAATAACTCGGAGTGTCGCTCCAAGTGCACCGGCAGGTGACGCCTTCGCCAGTGGAGAAGAGGCGAAGATACTCCCATTCTTGCACGAGGCGCGAGAATTCGCCGACGATGACAGTAACGGTGACATAATTCCGTGCACACGCGTCTGTATTCCTCTTCAGGATGAGTCTTATGCAAGGCTCGCCAGACGGTGAGAGAGAGTTCGGCCAAGTTCGCGTAAACAAGGAACGTTAAATAAACATGATAATCCACGTTCGGCGCGATGAAGTAAGCTCGCTTTGTTATCACCCAACAGACCGGGAATTAGCGCAGTGACGTTCCCCGGTACCCCCGGAGTACCCTTGCTCACTGTCTGACCTGGAACGTTGGAGAAGGTCGTCCTTGCCTCGTCAGGAACATCGTAGCGCACGCCTTTATTAACGAACGCATTCGTCCTCGAGACATGCTAGAACGAAACGTCGTAAAATGATACACCGCCGTCTCGCGATGTTTATTTCTCTCTGGGTTATCGCGATGTCTCGATGTTAAGAATCCTCCGGAGAGAGAGAGAGAGAGAGAGACGTGTGTGTGTTTGGCTTCTTCCTCGTGAAAAAGGTCGCCATTTGCATCAACACCAACTAACGGTAACATTACGTCAATATTATAGTCTGCCGCTCAACAATGTAAGTAGCGATGTAACGTGCGTTGCGTGTCACATTGTTGAGTTAGGAAATTGTAACATCGATCGATGGGATGTTGCTTTCGATATTTACTGGAATCTACACACAGGAGAAAATTAGCATCGATTCTTATGTTCTTATACGTAAACAAGAATATATAATTTTATATGAAGATAAAATTTGGTTCAGTTAATTGGCGTTCACCGTGATATAAAGTATTTAACTCGTAGTTTGGATTAATATGAACAACGTCTACCATTTTGCAAACAAAATTCCGTATGTATAAAGGCTTCTTTAATTAGTAACTCAAAAATCCGCGTGTTTATTTGTCGCAAAATGGTGAAATATTTGTTTTCGTTCGGAACAACCTAATCTACAAGTATATGACAGCTATTGTACTCAACGACAGGTTCAAAATTCGAGGTTCAATATACCGATGTTTGTCCTTCGTAGATTTATTTCCAACGTATCGTGAACGTGAGACTTCGGGTCGTTCCTTTCCCTGAAGATATGAACTGACGTTTTCACGAAACTTCGTAAGCAAATCGCACCAGAACTCATTTCGGCATTTCTTTACACCACGGAAGCCAAAAATAATCATATCGCAGGATTTCTTTGCATAATCATTATTTATATAATCTTTTTATAAATTGATCGTGTTGCGTTATATTTTATTGTGATACTTAGTTGACTCCGATGTATGAAGCATGTATCTCGCTGTGGTGATAGTCTTTCATGTTATAAATCTAAATAGCAGCGTCTGTAATGTCAATATTCGAGCAAACATGATAACGTATTAATAGCATCAAATGACATATTAATGACGTTTTAATAACGTCGCAGATGTCGTTAATACATCATCACGTTTGGGATTGTAATCTCATTTTCTGCCATTTTAAAGACACTCTTGAGAAGAGCTCGAAGAATTGCTGAAGATAAGAAAGTTGGTATTTAAATGATGCGTCCGTAAGTGATGATATCCAAACAAACATTTTGTTTGAGTCAATTAAGCGTCAATTCTCCGTGCACGTGGTGCGAATTTTTACAAATTGTGCCGAAAGATAATCGCGCAACGATGCGTCTTTCTCTAATTGGAAGAGTAATCGATATTTTCGTTATTGCATTTTTCGAATCTTACATATGTGTCGGATTAATCTGTAAAGTGGTTTCGAAGAGAAAAAATATATGATTTTCAGATAATAGATATTTTCCGAGGCGTTGCGCAGGACGAAAATCGAGCAGATAGCGGAGGACCGAATGCTCATTTCAAAAGACCGGTTTTTAATGTCTATTGCGTCAGGACTCTTGGAATAAGTTGGGGGAGCCGAAATCAGAATAATAGTTTCGACGCAACTATTTGGCTCCTAAGAGTAAATATGTGGGTGTCGAAAAACTGGCGAGTTTTACCGCTGCCAGTGTCTTCAATAAAGTGCACGATGCTATTCTGATAATGATGGTCGTGGATGTAAAAATCGGGCGATAAACAAAAGCCTAAGGAAGGGAGAAAACCAGTTCCGCTGCAAGATTTTCGTCAGAGAAGCAGAAAGAAGATAGAGAGGAACAACAAGCCTTACGTGATATATGTACGAAGAAGTAGAAACTACTTTACTTTATAGTCTTGGAATAGCGGATTAACGATTGGAAAAAAACAAGAAAAGATTTGGATTACACAGGCCGACAAAACATTTTACCAGAAACCGGAATATACTATCCTGAAGGTTTTTGACTCGCTGAATTCAAATCTGGCCTCGGAAATGCTCGTTTGGCTCAGGTTTCCGAAATGTTATAATCTAAAAGTGCAAAAAACGCGATTTTAGCCTATATTTGAGATCATGCAGCATGGAGAAAACTTTCTTTTTCAAAAAACTGTTTAAAGTATCTCAAAATATAGGTCTCAATCTTTCAAATGCCGTTGAGTTTGCTCAAATATCTGTTTTTGTCAGCGATATATGCTATTTTAAAAATTTCAAATTGCATGAATTTAAATTCCTGTGTTATTTAAGGCCTGTGTTATATACGTAGAAAATCAATGAAAAATTTTGCAGCCGTTTTCCTCAAAACGAGTTGTTTTCAAAATCACGCGAAACTCTCCCAAGAAAACGGCTCGACCGATTGACTCGAAACTTCGCACAATTATTATTGAGATTTCTTTGCAGTTCGTGAATTTGTTTATATTTATCAATGATTTAACTCTTTCTTTTTTGTTTTATAAAGATAGTGTTCGAAAAAATGCTGAAAATTAAAACGTGATTTTCGTTTTACCGCCATTTTGTTATATTTCAATATTTTAACGCAAATGTTGATTCAATAACTGCGTATACCAATAGCAGCATACCGATAAGAAAAAATGATTAAAATATTTCGATTAGAAAACCGCCGGAACTTGAAAATATCCAAAAGCGCAAGACGCCCCGTGCGAGGAAACTTCGACCCCTCGAGGAACTTTATGCTTATGTAAGGAGCCGGCCGAATCGATCTCTTCCTCTTGGGAGCCTCGCGTGAAGAAAAAACGCGTCTCTCTCTCTCTCTCTCTCTCCACGCGCGAGACGATATGTATGTCAGCGACTGACTCGCGCGGTACCTTGTTGGGCGACGTCCCGGTCGGGAGAAAAAAGCGTACTCTGTATTGTATCGAGAGCGAAGAGAGTTCACAGCGAAAATTGCATCTCTCAAGGATCACCGGTTTCTTGCGCAATCCGGCGAACAGTTCAGGGAAAACGGCGGCACGTTCGCCGAACCCGCACGAAATTTGCCCGTATATCAAATACGACGAAAAAATATTGTTGTTTACAAATACAATCGAAGTAAATGCATTTAATTAAATGACGTAACATCATTTCTCGTCGTACAGACATATATCTAAGCACGTATATGGGCAAAATTCATACACGATTTTATATATAATCATTTTTTCGCGCGGATTTCGACCGAACGCGCGCGAATTTCGTCGCCGGCGCGTCGGAAATTATCCCCCCGACTTGGATTAATTATCGATCAGGTGGACGGCTAATTGCCCGACGATGCGGCGATTATACAATGAAAGCTCGGGGCGAGATCACCGCGGAAGATATTATGAGGTGACGATACAGCGAAGGATGCGAGATTTCTCGTCCACATTTCGTTCCTCGCGCGATCGATCGATCGTCTGGAAGGAGGCGAAGTCCATTAATAGACAGACGTGTTCGCGCCGATCGCAAACGAAGCATATCCTTGCTGTTAACAAACTCTCTCCTCATTTCGCCGCTCGCGTGGCATTAATTTCGTTCATCGAGGAGCAAGCAAATACCGGAGATATGACGAATTCGCACGTTGCAACTCCAACGATCTCCTTATGACATCATGAATTCCGCATAAACAACCGTCTGTCTCACTTTATAGATCGAGGCGTGCGCGCGCACGCACGCTGTCGCCGCACACGTCATATTTATTCATAATAACAGCCTCGTGCGTTTTTGCCGCTTACGAAGATGTTTATCGTCAAATACGTCAAATGGTTCTTCGTTAGGAACGCTGGGAAACGGCTGTTTACTCGATTCTGGATCACGAACGACGCAGTCGTTGCGACGTGACATTGACGAGCGAGCGAATCGAGAAGGGCTCGACTGGGCAAAGCCGGTCAGCTGCGTTTTTTAAAATCGTATCACAGCGAAAGAACTATTTGATTGCAAAGTAAATTGCGCGAATCTTTTCACGAAAATCGTTTAAATTTACAAAGATCGTTCCACTGATATATTTCGGGACAAAATACTTTTGTTGCTGTAATATGATGGTTTTTTTTTTAGAATCTTTTCTCAAGCGGAGGTTCTTTTTGCCCCGAAATTAAAGCTCGACGAATCAAGGTAAACAATGAAAGTAACTAATCTTATAGTTTGTACGCTTCAACTCCTACATCGTTAATATTTGGTTCTTATGGAAATACTTCCAATAGCAATATCATAGTACCATTCTTAGGTATGTATTTCTCAACTATAGAAGAAACGTTTTTGCTATTTCATGGGTAGTGAATAATCGGTAAACAGTTTCTTAGTACATAGTCTGTAATATATATGCATGATTAGCAAATTTGTGTGTTATACATTCTCTACATTTGCTCGACATGTTACTTTCTGCTAATATCTTATTGCTTTCTTACCAATTCAAACGTATAAATTTTGCGCTCGTTTTTTTCTCTGTAACATTTTTCAATTTGTTATACACTCTTTCTTACGCGAAATCTCTCTCTGTGCTTTCCCCGAGTTTTGTATTCGAATGATCTTTGAAGCCGTATTCTCGATCCTTATCATCATTATTCAACAAAGTGCCCTTTGTCACGTCGCGTTGCTCACGACGAAGATAGTATCGCGCTAAGAAAAGTCCTCATGGAAAAATCAGCAAGGGCTTCGCGTGAGAGAGACTCACGTATGGTAGGAGGTATATATTCAATACGAACATTCACATGCTAAGCAGGGGTTCCGCCGGTGCTTTCTCGCGATCCGTCTCTTTGACTCGCGAGACGATTTCAATCTCTCCAGCCGTCCGCTTCTATCGCTTCGTCGGGAGCACGCTGTTTCCTTGCCAAAACTATCCGACTGATCGAAACAATCTCAAGCAACTGAAGTAATTAAGAAAATCAATTACTACACTAGTAAATATCTACTTGAACTCTTTTCTTCATAATTGCTTTCAATTAATTTCACTCACGAGGAAGTGTCGACGCGACCGAAAGTGCACACCGGAAATTGACGAAGTTTATCGGGCATGCATCGATCAAGTGGCAATTGTTGATCGTGTTATCTGAGACGGCTGTTTCTGTCGGCGTGCATTGCACTCCGCTTATTAATCGCGAAAGAGATTCCACGTGGCGATAAGTAAGGGGCTCTCATAGCTACGATATTAATTTATGACAGCGAAGTTAAACTCGTCTTGATTTACTGCACACTATGGAACTTCCCCGCGTTGCAAATGCCGGTTCGTTTAGATTCGGCTAAAAGTTATTTGGCCTTTAATTAACCACAGGCGTAAGATTTGGGCGTCGAACAATTTCTTTTCTCTTTCGCGAATATGTAATTTCCGCTTTCTACTCTTCGAAAAAATTCAAACGCAGTTAGAACGAGCTTCGTGGTAGGAAATTGCCAAATTTCTTTCGATCACTCACGATCGCTCATTTGGCTTGAGAGACGAAAAGAATTAACGTGTAATTGGTGGCATAATTAATAGATAAATACACGATTGATACAGTCGATCACAAAAAAATGTTTTTTCGCATCTTGCGTCCAATAAATCTCTTAAGAGAATTACTCTCTCTTAAGAGAATTACTAATGAACAAATTCTCCTATTCGAATAAAATGAAAAGTGTGTCTGACTGACTATACAATCGAATATTTTCAACAATTTCGGCGTGGCGCCCAAAGAGATTCGCGCGAAATAACGGATTGTTATTACGAGCGGGCGATTCGCGCGAAAAATTCCTCTCGCTTTCGGATGATTCGCGTGCCGATTGCTTTCTCGCCGCGTCACGATTTCGGTCTCGCGACACGTGGCGATATCGGTGTCCTGACGTCATCGCGCGGGGGAAGAGAGGACAATCTCGACGGCACGATTCGCTGCCAGGCGAGTGACCCGAATGAAAGTGGACAGAAGGAGGCCCCGTGGGGGGAGAGAAACTGCACGTGGCGATAAAGGAATCACGCGAGGATACGATTTTGGAATCGCCGGTGCACCCGCACTCGACGAAAGAAATCAATCGGGAGAGATCGATTCGCAAGAAATTTTTCATTCTACATTCGAGCGGAGAAAACAGAAATAAATGCTACAAATGGGAGACCTCCAGAGTCTAAATCAAGTCGTCTCTAATTAAACTAGACTTCATGTAACAACTCTAATGTAGAACTAAACAATCTTTATTTAAATCTATTTTCTTTATTTTTATTTAATTTTAATTCAGACGGAAATAAGTTCCCACTTGTAAGATCAAAGGAGCTCAATAAGTGCTCCTTTAATGTGAGAATTTAGTCCTCGAGATTTTAATTCTACATTAAGACCGGTATTTATAATATAAGATCTGATTATAAATCCAAAGGCTTAAATCTTCAAGAGAGAACAACTTCCCCGTTTGCACGATAGAAGAACATTTAATGTAGAACTAAATTAGGACTCGGGGACTTCCATCCCGAATTGTCGATTCTTTATGCAAATCCTACGATATCTTCACTTATTTGTCCTAAGATTCTCTCTCGGAATCGATTTTTTACGCTCGAGGATGGACGTTTCCAATTAAAAAAGGGGAAAATATATGCACGCGTGAAAAATGTAACGAAAGGGGGTAAGTGATGAGAAAGCGCGACATTTTCGAGTGGTGAGAAGAAAGATTTCATCGAGCACAGTTTGCCCGCTTCCTCATCCGTCGTTCCTACCAACGAAAAGCCCGGGAGACGGGGGTATTTTTAAATTGCGAGAGTCTATTCCACCGGTTTGTTTCATCGATCTAGCCCTTTGTCTCCTTTTTTCACGACAGAGCAGCTGTAATTTCGTCGGCCGGTTCACTTGGCGCACGCTGTGACGTAAGTGAGAACAATAACGTCTCGCCGCGATACCTCGGTCGTATTTTCGGAGTACTCGCGAGACACGCGACGCTCTCGTCGATGACGATAAATGGGAGAATTATTGGCGCCACTTTTTATCGCTCGCGCGAGATCAACGCGATGGAAAACATATTGTGATTCAGAGAGCCGACGGATGCTCATCTCTTCGCATGACCGCAGATGCAAGCGACTTGGAGCGACGTTGGAAAGTAGAGAACGTTGGAAAGTAGAGAAGAGAAAAAAACGCATTGTGATAAAGGCGTTACGGTATCGTTAATAACGCCATCGGTCTGCTCGCATTGTCACGCATTTTTCTCTCATAAATTTTTGATGACAAAGGGAGAGGAGATACTTTTGAGATCAAGGTGTAGTAATGTCATTCTATAACGACGATTTTTCTTCGAACAAGTCTGCAAATTTCACTTCACAGAGCAAAGCCAAGCGTGTTAATAAAAAATCGTGTCGATATTATTTTCTTGATGCGCGATATTATTCGGTTGCAAGGAAAATCCTTTCTTTCGCAATCATAAAGAACGTGTTATACGGCTGCTTGAAATGATGTTTCAGATCTACGAGATAATATTGAAATACGTATCCGGTAAATAAAGAACGTCAGATTAACATCTTAAAATGTTGATTTTATGCGTATCTCTTTCGTTTGACATTCTGAAAATATTTACAAAAACATTACCAAATAATACGATCTCCTCGAATACTTCAGAAATATTGAAGTGCTGACGTTATTATCGTGATGACATTGATACAACGTTGAAAATTATATGAAAAAACAACGTTACAAATAATCGTCAATAATTTTTTGCTCATTGAATAAACAAGGCCAGGACAGGCAAAACAAACATATATTCGCTGAACTTACCGTGAATGATACATACGATAGCATACAAGAAGAGAACACGGCGATCCGATCAAATGAAGCGAATAAAATGAAATATTCGGTATGTCCTAAAACAGATGTAGCGGAGCACACGCGAGAAGAAGTCGCAACAGGAATGATCGCTTATTCATATAATAGGATTCGCGTTCAGTGAATTAATTCTGAACCGTCTACACTGAGCAAAAGATTTCTTCAAATTTAATAAATTTTATTGCACCCAGACAAATTTCATCATTGACCAAAGAAACGAATTTTTCGATTAATAAATACGATTGTTAGACTTTTCAACGTATATCTTTATCTTAAGTAAAAAAATTTGTTTGAAACGAAAGATAATTTTCTTATAAGGAAATTGTTTGTTTCATTTTATTGCGACCAAGTAATATTTTATTTGGTTAAAAAATATCATTTCGAGTAATAGCGTTCTTCCCGTTAGGGTTTCCTTCAATGACAGACAATAACAATTTTACTCAAATAAGTAATATTTCGTACATGTTGTTTCTATGAAACAAGTTCTAGTCAAATAAATAGAAATCTCCCCTCTGTATGGATTAAAATTAACCGCAGCTAGTGAGTTGGAATAATATTCAGTCAACTACAACAATAAAAAAAAATGAACGTCTCATCGGCAGATAACCAGTTTCACGAAATTGATAAAATATTTCGTCCAATCGTGTGTTTGTGTGTGTGCACGCGTGTGGACGCATCGCCAATAAAAGTCAAATCAGTGGCGAGTTAGCTGACGATTAATGAGCCATGAATAATGGATAAAATGAATAACGCGAGGAGGAAAAAAGAAAGAAAGAAAGAGGAAGAAAACGTAATTCCCTCGTGAGGACTAAGCGCGAAATTTAACACCGGCCTGTTACCGGCGGCACTGCATCATTTCCCAAATAAATTACCGGCGATAAGACATAATTGGCATAAATCAAGCGACAATTTTCGATGCATCTCGAGCCACCCCTTCTTTCGGTATCTGCGAACGATATTCTCGCGATACTCGAGAATCGCGCGCGGCGCGATTAAATAAAACCGCGCGTGGAGAGAACTTTGTGCCCCGGGCGTCGTGTAATCGTTCCTTTTATTTTTCCGCCGATTATCTCGCGCGCGCGCGCAAAGAATCTCGCCCGGGAGTTGCGTGGTATCCGTCAATGTTTCTTCTCTCTCTCGCGCGCGACAAAATCGGCATATGGTCAAAAAGGAATTTTTTACACAACATATGGTGTAAATTTCGATTACAGACCGGCTGAATGTAGATCTCTCAAGCTACAATGTTACAAAGGTCCTTCCCTCCCGCCGGTCGTGTATTTTTGGATACACGTGAAATTCTCGTCGGACGCTCCGAAGAATTTTCCCGAGGCATGCGATACCTACGCGTTGGGTTCCCCCTGATGGCGAGATTGAAAAAGGTGTCCCGCAAATCCAGAATGTCCTGCACACCCCCTTGTGGTATTATCCACGAAGGAGCATTTTCGTGTTAATGGAAATATGTTATTTCACTATTTAGTTTTCGCGAGTGGATCAAAAGTGTGCGCGTCTCTCTCTCTATTGGTGATGGCCCGGTGCACTCAGTAGTATATAAGGGCATCTCTTTCGCACGGTCACGCATTAACCGCAGGGAGTCACCGCGTGATACACCGGACGGAAGGGAGGTGGATCATCGGTGCATCATCGATCGTTCTGCGCGATCGCGCCCCTGCGAGACGATTCTTATATAACGGTCATCGCACGCGCATCACACATCCTTCGCACGGGACACACCGGTGACTTCAGACTAGAACCGGCTCGCTCGCTTCTCTCTCTCGCGCGCGCGCGCGCGCGCGCGCGCGTGTCTCGCTGCGCGATCGCTCGCTCGCTCACTCGCGCGAGTACGTGAGTTTCCGCGACGGGAGAGAGACACGTCTCTCTTATCGTCTCGGGTAAGAAGAGCGCACGCTCGATCGATCGACGCTTCCTCCGCGAATTTCGATCTCGGGAAGGGGAGTTTTGCAACGGAAGGAAGGATCAAGATGCTCGTCGAGACGTTCTCCGCCCTGACGGAGTCCTGGCTCACCCCGATGATGATCTTCTCTATGCTGTCGGCTATGCTGGTGTTGTTGGTACAACGTGGGAAGTTCCTATACGCTCTGAGGAACGTGCCGTATCCCACCGCACTGCCTGTCATCGGCAACGCGTATCAGCTGAACTGTTCGACAGAAGGTAAGGCCCTGTCAATTGGAAACGGCCGACACATAACTCTCACCGGCGATATCGGGGGAATATTCGTCAGACGTTTTATTTCGCACACTTTGGAGTGAGGAGGATGAAAGAGGTGAATCGCAGATGTAATTTGCATAATGTGTTTGTACACGTCTCGTTATCGGGACCATTATATATATCGTGGACATCCTCGGAGGTTGCAAAACATTTTTACATGAACAGTAGAGTAGGTCGTGTAATCTCTCTCTCTCTCAAGAAATAGAGAAGAATCGTACTTCAAGCAACGACCTTGTTAACGCAAACAGATAACCACACGAAGACTCTTCCGGGGTTGAGATCTCCAGAAAAAAATGGTCACGATAATACGTTATCATTCGAAGATTATAGATGGCAATTATAAGATGATGAAATAAATAATTTGATTTATATCTGATGTAAAATGTCGCTACAATAAAACTTACCTATGATGTGGATACACCTGAACTGAGATTGCATGATACGAAGAGGAAGGATGGAAATATCGTGTACTCGCTCACAATTTCGAAAACGCCCGTGTACACATCGTTAGTACCACCAAGTGTCTTCTCGATTAATAAGTCGTATATTACGTCACGATCCAAAGGAACGCAAGCTTAATATTTTACTTAACGATGCTTCAATTTTCATTAATTTATATTTAATAATATTTCTTCGTAGAGACTCGTATGTCTCGTGAACACTTCAGTCCGCTTCTTCGAACGAAACTGTCCGAATCTCGTGGTCGGTCGATCGTAGGTGGGCGACCGCCGGATTGATGGCGAATTTTAATTGCCCGTCGAATCGGTAAACCCGCGTGAGATAAGACGGCGGTGAAGAAATTCACACGGGCAATTCAGCGGCGCGGCAAAGTGCAACCAATATTGAGGACAGACACGTGCCGACTGTCGCGCGGGTTTTCGGCGCGAATCAGATAAGCCGCGTACGACTCGCCCGAGGTGATTTGGAGTCGCTTTCATTCATTCGCCCATATCTGTACACACGCGCGGGAAGAACAAATTTCTTTGTTAGTGTAATTGAATTTTCCGCTGCTGGGTGGACCAGACGAGAACTCGGCTGTAGAAACAGAAAGTTCTCAGGCAGAACAAATGTCAAAGAGACGTCTAAAAGGCGTTCTATTTCTTTCTTTAGATATCTTTCAGAGATCTTTTAAAAGTTTGTTCCACCTGGAAGATACCTGCGCAGTCGATTGCATTTCTTATCAATAAGTTTTCATTTTAGTTAATTTAATGCGAATTTATTTATTTATGTTTAATAATATTTTATGCGTCCTTATTTATTTAGTTGTAGAGAAGTTGAGCTTTTTCTGTGAAATTTCGCCGCAACGTAGCGAACCTACCGCCTCTCAGATCAGAGGTGCGCGAGTAAATATCCGGGGTTTCCATTTTCCAGCACCCGATCATCCGCATCTCACTCGACCTACCGACTTTGTTCGAGTGTGGGGACGTTCAGCTGTCAACAGGCTGAAAGTGAAAAGTTTCCCAAACGATCCCGATTAATTTCAAGTATCCGACAGCTCGTGTCCATTCCCGAAATTGACGATGAAAATTTCACAGACTCTCTCGGTATTTTCGAGCGTGCTCCGTTTTGGCGCGAGACAAACAATTCCGCGCGAGATGAAGCGAGGAGAAGAAAAGAAACGACGAAGAAGGAGGAGCGAGAGAAAGAAAGATAGAGAGAGATCGGTAGCTCACCACCAGTAATCGCCAATCCGTCAGTCGTAAAAAAAAGAAACGAAGAAGAAGAAGAAGACGACGATGGAAAGGGGGTCGAGGTCGTTCGAGTGGTTTCAATAGTGGCGAGTAATTGTAACGCAATTTTGTATGCACGCGCATCTCTTTCTCCCTCCCTGCCTCTCTCTCTCTTTCGTCCCTCCCTTCCTTCCCGGAGGAAAATAAAAAAGAGAAAGCGTCACGGCGCCTAAAAGCGAAGGTTCCGCGCGGCGGGGATCGGAGGATGACTCCGGGCCAGACTCCGGCCAGACGTCGTCCACAAGAAGAGAATAGGGTTTGCGCTTTGATGGTGCGCGTGCGTCTACACACGATAACCGAGCGGCAATCGAGGGGTCATTACGGCCCGTAAAGGAAGACGCGTGGGCGATTAAGGAAGCGCGACGGTAACAGCTCGCGGGGAGATACGTTGTTAGAAAAAAAAAAAAAGAAGAACCGTCGGATAATCACGACGTTTTATTGTCGTGATGACGCGATTACCGTAACATATCGCGGATATACCGTTCAAGGCGGATTAAGCTTATTTTTACTCTCCGCTCTTTACATTCGAACTTTATTCTTCGCGCAGCCTGCGTATTTTTTTTCTCTTTTTTTTCTTCACACGCGAAACGACATTGATTGCGTAACAAAGCCTTCTCTTGGGGAGGGGGATAAAGAGAAGTGGGAGAAGGATTTTTCAGGATCGGTAGAAGCGGGTACCTTTCATCTGCTCTCATGCAACGTTGAGACAACTCCCAGCTGCGGACACCTATTTATAGCTGGAAAATCAATTACTTGAGAGAGAGAGAGAGAGATGTTGAAGAGTTACTAATAACAGGCAGACCTTGAAGATGTTTCGCGTCCCGCTGATCACGGGAGAGAAATATCGATTGTTCTTACCGTCAGTTAAGCGCTCGATAAATCGAGGACGGGCGTTCCCTCGCGCGCGGAGAAAAACTACCGCATCTTATGTCACGCTTATTTCTCGGCCGGAATTTGCGACGCGAATATCCTTGGGGAGGGGGCGCGCTAAAATGTCGAAGGACGCCTCGTTGCAAGGTCTCTCTCTTTCCCACTGTTCATCGTCCGCATCGTGCAAACATGCATGCTGTCATTTTTGCTGGTCAACGTCCGGTCAGTCTCTCCTTCTCTCGGCTGCCAACTTGCTGCACGTGCAGCGCGACGTCTCTCTTCCTCCGTCGCTTGATTCTCCCCCCTCTTCTCTCTCTCTGTTTTTCTTCCCGCATCACGTTGACATCATTTCTTTGTTTCCTCGTCGGCGGCGCCAGATCCTCTTCTCGCAATTTGCGCCAGCGAGACGTAAAGAGAGAGAGAGAGAGTAGCCTAGAATCGCAATGACCTAATGCGATAGTACAGCGAAAGGCCTACATCTGCACGGCGGCGGGTCGACGACCGCACAATGGGGATAATCCTCTCGCGAAAGTCACGCGTGAATAAGGAATTTAGAAGAGTCGGTTTTTCAGAGTTCTTCAAGAAGCTGGTGAAATGGGCCGAGCAGTTCGGCGACATCTACCTGCTCTGGGTCGGCATGCGGCCCTTCATCTTCCTCTACAAAGCGGAGGCGGTGCAACCGTTGCTGAAGAGTAGCACCCACATCGACAAGAGTCTCGAGTACGAGTACTTGAAGCCGTGGTTGGGCACCGGCCTGGTCACCAGCAACGGTAAGCGATCCTTTATTCGGAAAAACAAAGGTTTTAGCTGTGGAGAATTTTCAACAATTTATTGTCATCTCGAGAAAGTGCTCGCGGAGAGGGCCCCGATTATCCTTGGCATTTCTCGTAAATGCACGCTGCGATCAATTTCTCGACGATTATTTGCACGCGCAGTGTGCGTGAAACGATATTATTGTTAATGAATTAATGCATGTATTCTCTCCTCGCGAACAATCGGTGCTTCGACCTTGGACACTTGATTTATCTTATCTGTATATAGATTTAAATTTCTACTGCATATCGTATATCACGAGCATCCCTCTCCAAACGAATGTACAATCGTGCGTATAATTCGATATTTTTATTCAACCTGAAGATATATATGCTTGACGATTGCTCGAATATCTGCTCACACAGTTTCTTAAGAGTATATAGAGCGAAGTTAATTGACGCCGTTTAACCACCGTGACCGCGGGAAATTCCGCCGATTTTGGATGATTCAAACCGGTGATAACTCGGTCCAAGAAGGAAGAAATACGTTGAAATTAAAACAATTTGAAGTGAAAAAAATTCACTGCGCTGCACCACGTGTTTCTTCGGACGCGATCGCGTAAAAACGTTTCTCCAAACTATTCGTGAGTGAGATAAAAAAGAAGTGGAGAAAAACATTGAATTGATATGCGTTATGCAAAAATCCAGAGAGAAGGTATGCAGGATTCTTATATTTAGAAGTCTCGAATTAGACGCGGGATTTTATTTTAGCGCTGGCCGGATTTTTCCGCTCACACATTCTCACTTCGCATTTTGAGCGGACGAAGATTAGAAATATCGACGTAAACTCGTTTACAAAAGAAGATACTTTTCTTAAGGAAACGCGAGTTTAAAGGTCGCTCGATTCCTCCTCGACAAAATTATTTCTGCCACATTTTTGTCTTTCTTCTCCTAACGTTCCCGTTTGAATTTCAATTCACAGCCGCATTTAACCCTTTTCAATTGCTACCTTCGCTAGAATCGCTCGGGGAAATCTTCGCGCCGAGATCGGTTCTCGCCTGACTCATGAATTTAGCGACGCGCACGACTCTACATTCATCGGAGGTATTGATCGAATTGTCCTCCTGAGAGAGTAAACGCGGCGTAATTACGAAAAGAAAGATAACTGGTTCGCGAACCAGTTCAGCCTCCAGAAATAGCTACTCGTCCTTGTCGCAAGTTTGCAGAAAAAGGAAAACCACCGACCGCGACCGGCAGTCGCGCGGATTTGAAGCTTCGAGCGCGAGATTCCTGTTAGAACAAAGGGGAGGGAAAACGACGAAACGCTGAAGAAATTGAGCGATCCAACGAAGCCGGTCTTTTTAATACATTGGTCCGCTGAGAATCGTCGCGGTTTTCCACAAAAGCTCTTGATAATCAGTTAAGAGGAGAAAAGCGGTGCCGATGAGATATTTCGATGCAATTGGCTATTTTTCACGGGACAAATCTGATAAATCGCGTTACCTTCATCTCATACACTGAGAAAAAGATTTCTTCAATTTTACCGCATCCAAACAAATTTCATCACTGGCATGCTTCAAAGAAACTAATGTTTCGATCGATAAGATTGTCAGACTTTCCAACGAATGTTTACCTTAAATAAACAATTTCTATGAAACGAAAGATAATTTTCCTATAAAGAAATTATTTCTTTCATTTTACGTATTTATTATAACCAAATAATCTTTTATTTGATTAAAAGATATTATTTCAAACGTTCTTTCTGTTAAATAATACAGTTTTCTTGACGATAAAATTTTTACTCAAACAAATAATATTTCGTATAAGTACATGTTGTTTCGATGAAAGAAATTTTAGAAATAAATAAATAGAAATACTAAAGAAACTTTTTTCTCTGTGTAATAGTTAGACAATATAACATATTTTTTTACACAGTGTACTTTCGCCAATATTCTATTCCATCACTCTTCTCTCTTAACAACGAGATTAATGGGGTTATCTAAGATTGTTATTGACTCTGTTAGCTTCGTGTTTCGCACTTTAAAAATCAAAATCGATCGAATTTCGTCGGTCGTGTGGTGCGCGGCGTGCGACCGAAATTTTGACGATGTAAACAACGTGATAATTATACCGAGATATCTTGTTTCTCGAGATATCGGCACGAGTTATAAACAAGAAGCATTGCCTCGTGTGTAAAATATGCATATAATCTCAGAAGTCCAAAAAGGAAGAGAAGACGGAATATCACATCGTTCGACCTAAAAATACATTGTTGGGCGATCAATTAATATCGGCAGATAAACAGTATCTTCTTTTGCATTGTCTAAAAGTAGCACACGAACGCACACATGTCATACACATAAATCATTTCATGCAAATAGGTACACATATTTGAATAATAAATAATAATGTCGACGATTTATTGCAATTCATTTGTTTATCATTTTATCTGTCGAGTCGACTAATTAGATTTATTTATTTATGCCGGAATAATGTTAGAAAGATCAAGAAATCAATTTATCAGCAATCTTCTTTAATGTTTTCCTATCGATAAGATTCGATCGGCAGTTTTGATAGATCTTTTTTAAGCACACAATACCGTACGTCGATTGAAACGTCGTAATCAATTTGTCGTCCTTTGCTTCCAGGTGAGATATGGCATCGACGCAGGAAGATGCTGTCGTCGACCTTCCACAGCTGCCTTCTCAGCGATTATCTAAAGATAGTCGTGAGAGAATCGGACATTCTGATCTCTTGTATGAAGAAAGAAATCGGCAAATCTGGGTTTAACATGGTCTCGTACGCGAAACGTGCAACCCTCGACGTTATCTGTGGTGAGTCGGCGATCATTATCGATGCCTCCGATCGAAATGTAACTTTAAAGTTGTCCGAGAGGAACTTTCGTGCGAGTATTTCAACTGAACGAAATATTTACATACGCATAATTCACACCTTCTTCTCGATTGTTATATCACGATCGGAGTATCTAAAACAAATTTCGGCAAGATAAGATTCAGTTCGAAATGATAGGTCGCGGTTTGATAAGATAATTTCCGACGCAGAATGTTATTCGATCGGTGCATCTCATCTTCGGTGATTTGTGCTCTCGAGAATCGCGAATATATCGCCTCTTCAGATTGACGATAAGTCAATCCACAAGACACTCCTGTTTGATCGGCCTGAAGACAGGCAAAGCTGTGGTCCTCGTCGCGGCGATAACGCGGGAAAAGATTCGCAAGCACAGCCGGCAAAGATGGAAGACAGGCCGTCGAGACGGAAAGAGAAAAATCTCTCTTTCGTCATTTTGAAAGAATGTTCCGTTATTATATTCGATCCGGATGGTTTGCGATCCGCTGGCATTCGATTACGTTGGTAAACCTCGCTCAAATTGCACTATATCGCTGTATCGGTGACGTCTTATTTGGTCATTCGACCTCCTCTTCGCGGTTGCGATAACTCGATTCTGCGCCGCTGTTGCTCGCGATAGATAGATGTTATGTAATATTTTTATACAGGTTACTCGATCTTACATCCATTAATTATACCAGTGCTGCTAATTGAAACGTTTTCAGGTCATTACCTGAGCCTAGTGAAGTGACTTCAGTTGGTGACCTTGCTGGAATCTGAAAATTAAATCCGTTTATCGCGTGAGGGATTTTAACAAAATCGCAATAATTCTATTCTGCCTAATGTATAAAATAAAAAAATTGGCACGCGATAGAAATTTTCGATTTCGAATGTCGATATTCTAAAAACGTTAAAACGAATTCATCACCGACTGGTGTTATTAGTCGCTCGCGCATAGATTTGTGATTTTTCGATTATCCTCACGATAGAATTTCCGGTGTAGAAATTCTCAATATCATTCGTTGACCCTAAATGCGTTCGGTGAAACGAAATTGACGGATTTCGGCGGATCGCTCTTCGGTCCGTTCTGTTATCTCGTGCATCAAAACAGGTATTTTCACCTGTAATCAATTTGGCAAATTTTTACAACATTCTCACTCTCTCTTCCTCGAATAGCTTAAACAATCAATCGAACTTTGCAGTACGAATCGGAAATTACAGTTTCGCCTGAAGAAACTCGGCGTGTTGCACGAGGAGAACTCACTCAGTTCGTGTGACTGATCGGGGAGCAGACCGAGAAATTCAGTGAAGAAAAACGATATCTCTGTTATCGGGACCGAAAAAAACATTCGTCTGAAAACTTCGTTAAAACTCGGTCGAGATAACTGGCAGGACGATTGACTGGAAATAGAAGCCTTCTACAGAATCTTCTTCTCCGGACGAACATTCATACGCGACTCTCTTTGTTAAATCTCCGTTATCGAGCGAAAATGAAGACCTCGTATTATTGTCGTAAATTCGCAAGGTGGACGAGATCGGTGGTGTGACGGTAGTTTCAAAAAACCGACGAATCATTACTCGCCGAATAATTAAACCATAATTAAATTCACTCGCAATTGCGCCGTATTGCGAAAACTATATATAATCACGGTGATAACTACACTGTAAGTTCAAGTGTGTTATTTTTGCGCACATAAATGTCTTAAAATGACACATTTGATCGGAGTTTTTTTATATGTTTTTTGCCGATTTAGCTTACATCATTTAAAACGTTTAATTGTGTTAAATTAACGCGTTAACACGTCCATTCGTATTAAATGACGTGATTTAAAACGGCAAGACGTATGTAAGAAAAGCTTCAGCTAAATGATTTGCAATATACGTACGAATTTCTTCGGATATTTTTGCGATCTGTTGTACCTTTTTGGTTATAACACGTAGAATTTTGAATTGACGATAGAGGGATAAAAGTAAATCAGAATGATATAAATGATCGATTGCGATCGTTCATTGCTAATATCAGCCATAACGTCTGCTTTTAATATCTGCTAAGCCAAAACTCACTAATTTTTCTAATCATTCGCATCGTACGCGTTTATGTCATGACTATTGATTATTTGTCATTTTAACCGCTTAATTTGTATCATATTACTTCGTATCACGTTATATTCAGACTGTAGATTTTATCGTCATATTTATTCGATTTACTTTCATTTATTCATTCTGATTTATATTCATTCATTAATTAGATTTAAATTCAAACAGTTCTTCCCATTCGGTTTTTTTCCATTGCAGATAGCGCTATGGGTATCCAGCTCAACGCACAAAACAATTATAATAATGAATATGTCATTGCTGTGGATAAGTAAGTATATTTCCTTCAAGATCGCTTCCGTTTATCTCGCGTAAAAACACCGAGATCGTATTTCAGACGCATATCAAACACCAAGTATCGTTTTCTTATCGCAATCTAAAACAACGTTATAATGAACATTCATATGAAAGGAATTCTGTAATTATTACCTTACGCGTTGAGCTGTTGCCTCGTTCTTTAGTCGCATTTTTTATTTTTTCCATTTACTGTATCCATTACCCGTGACGTTTAGCTCAATAAAGTTATTATTTTGTTAAAAGAACTTAGAAACAATCTCACTTAATGTCACATATGCGTCCAGAATAAGATCTCTAAGCTGAGTGATCGTAAACAAGAAGACATAAATCAATGTTATTAGAGACTTGCAAAAATTCATCGGAAGTTTAGTCACATTTTTTTATGAATAGTACACGGTGTATTTAGTTAAAGTATCTGTTATCTACTACTTTTCGCAATCTTTCAGGCAATTGTGTTTGGTTCCGCTTCTATGATATGATTCATCTTTTGAACTGATAAAATCCAGCGCAATCCGACGAACTTCCGCAAGCCGCTAATAGTAACAATTTATGATCGTAGATATATATCGCTCATATTTTGTTTATTCGAATCGTTCGAAATAAAATTACGTACGCGCATTAAACAAGAACTATTCGAAAATGCCTGTTTCTTTACAGGGTTGCTTCTATCATGCAAATGAGATTCACAAACATTTGGATCTCTTTTGACCCGATTTTTAAAATGACACGGTGGGGGAAGGAGCACGACTCCGCTCTCCGTATTATCAACGAATTAGTTGGCAAGGTGATTAAATTTAACCCAGTAACGGCTAATTTCACAAAAGTGAAAGATGTGAAACATTCTGCATTGTAGGCACGAAAAGAATCGATCTGATATTACACATCATGCTCATAACGTTGAATAAATTACGCTTTCACAATAATTAGGGCAACCGCTACGCCTCTTTTACATACATAGAATACTTCGCACACGCAGGTGGTCGCAGACAGGAAAACGGAATGGATATCGAAGCGCGACGGGAACTTTAACGAGCCAACGACGAGGAAGCAGGCTATGCTGGATCTGCTGCTGGAGATGTCCCATAAACATACCGATCTCACCGATGAGGATATTCGCGACGAGGTGAACACCTTTATGTATGCCGGACATGATACGACAGCTACCAGCGTGTCTTGGACGCTCTACGCGCTTGGGCGACATCCTGAATATCAAGTAAGCTCCTGTCGACATTTAACTCCACCGGAGCATATCGAGTGATGACGAATCCATCAAAATCTATATCCTTGATTCCCAATATGATCGAACATGACGATAAATTTGTATATCGGCATGTTTCTTGTAGAACTGCTGAACAGAGGATGAAATTTCTTGCTCGAAACACATCGGCACAAAACTTAAAACTGGGACGTCTTGTGTCCTAATTTGAAGCTTTGCGGGATGCGACTTTCTATCTTTCTTCATATTTTAGAGCTTAATTATTTAATCTCAACGTTCTCTGGTTTTGCTGTAGAAAAAAATTCTGGATGAATTCGAGGAGGTAATTGGTACGAAGGAGATTACCTTAGACAACTTGAATAAATTGGTATGGCTGGATGCTTGCATAAAAGAGCAGTGGAGATTATATGCAGTCGCTCCGCTCATTGCCAGGCAAATTTACAAACCGATCGAAATAAGTGAGTATCTAGCGTTAATTCCTTCACGATATCGTGCTTTCAGACAATGAAGAAGAAATTAATTCGAACAAGTTGAGCTTTCAATAATATTTACCTAATAACAGAAAATTCATATCGAAATTGAAGTAAAGAAGTAACGGCATTGCAAATAATACGTTATTTTTCAACACTAAAAGAAAAGAACAGTCGAGTATTTAGATGGAGATTTGATTTGAAACCACATTTGGTTGCGCGTTAGTTGTTTTTTTTTGAATTCATATTTTACCACGCTTATTTTCGAAAGAATTTAGATTTGTTAGAAATATGTAGTAAGATATCTTTTGTATTTTCAGTGGGCAACGTGATTCCGCCTGGTTCGACTGTACTCATCAATTCTTACTTGCTGCATCGCGACCCCCGTCACTTTCCCGATCCGCACGTTTACCGTCCAGAGCGATTCTTGCCGGACAGCCCCAAATTTGCCAGATTTGCCTTCATTCCCTTCAGCGCTGGCTCGCGCAACTGCATCGGCTGGAAGTTTGCTACCATCATAGTCAAGGTAATCGTCTTGTCGATACTCAGGTCTTACCACGTGGAAGCTCTTGACAGGGAGGACCAGCTGCGCTTCATATCGGAATTAGTGTTGGTCAACGCGGGCGGGATTCGTCTCAAAGTCACGTCGCGTGATCAGCATACGAATTCATTTTAAACAATCGATTACGTGAGACAAATTTGGTACAAAGTTACCCCCAATCGACTGAAAGTAAAAACATGTTCATATTAAAAAAAGAAAAAAAAAAGTTTTCTATGAATCTCTGAAATGTCTATAGAAGAAATATTAAAAGGTAAAAGCAAAAAATTATGTTCAATGTTATCTTATACATCTTTTCAAACCATACAACTTTCATTCGATCCACTTTTCTCTAGAGATAATATTAACTTCGAAACAAATGGCAATTTCAATGCATCATGATAATAGAAATATGTAAGAGACGTTGATCTTCAGTGTGATATTATATATATATATATAATGCCTCAGAGCATATATTATAAATACTCTGTGGATGATCTTTTATATTAAATTAGATTAAGTTTTTCAGTGTGTGTGTGTGTGTGTGTGTGTGTGTGTATGTGCGTGTTTATATGCTATTGAAGAACACGTCTCTTATGTACGTTTATCATTTCTGCAAGAATTTTTACTTACATAAAAGTAATTACATGTGTTATAACACGGTAATAAAATTACCTTTCCTAATGCTTTATTATGTCACATATATACAGGATAAGACATTTAAAACTGCCATTTGATTTATGCCAATGTTATTATACCCAGAAAAAAAGAATAGATCGAATAAAAGTTGTATGATATCAAAAATGATACAGGATGAACAAAATTTTTTCATGCGTAGACATTTCAGATGGTTCAAACTTTTCTTCTTCGAAGTAGAGAAACATGTTTTTATTTACATAAGTAAAATTCCTCTTGTCATATATATATATATATGTGTGTGTGTGTATATATATATATACATCTAAAAGTATTAAAATAAAATCAACGACAAGTTGATACTTTGAGATACTTCTCTTTCCATATATCAGAATATCTCAAAATAAAATATATTAAATATTTTTCAAGGTATTCATTTATATAATAGATAACTTTTATCTTTTTACTTTTTCATACACGATTGATAAAGATATAAATGGAGTGATGAGAAAAATAATATTGACGTAGGTTAAGGTGGCAACTTTAAATGCCTTATCCTAGATAATTATTTTATATAATTATTATATAGTAATAGAATAGTTATTTCTACAGACAATAACTGTTTAATACTTGATTTGTCTTCCGAGTTAATGCATTAATTCGAAAATCAAATTATATATTCATCCACACCGCAGATGTTTAAAATATCAGAATATTGTTTCCATTTCAATAGTCATAGTCAACATAGTTTACAAATGTTTACAAGCTAAATAAATATTTATAATAATAATGTGATGAATCATATTCGTTTTAATTTAATTGCCCCTCTCTAAGAAAGCCGTATTAATAAATATCTCGAAAAGTATATCGAAACATCGAGGCCTCTTTCCCGCGATGCTGATTGGCTGTCGCGTTTCCACGTTTGCTTGTTTGTGGCTGTCAAATGATTACGTTGAATCCTAACAGTTCATCAGTTCGCGCGTTAAAGAGGATAACGATTAAAATATTAAATATTAAAGAAGACGAAGAAAGGAGAAATAGGTTTTCAGTCTGAAAATTTCACTCTAATGTTTATCTAATTACACAAACTGAGATTTTTTCCCGCGTACTAATAGTTAATTAAGTAGCCCGCGTGTCTGTGTTTATTCTATTATGCGTTTGCACGCATTCGATCGTGTTGCTGAAAAATAAAGATTTGTCCAATTTAAAATTGCATCATATTGTTTGGAAATAATTTTCTTTTTTAATTGAACATGGAAGGTATATATAAAAGTATACTGGAGGTCTAAGAACGCTGTCTAACCGACCCACATTATTTGGAAATAACAGTTGGTTGTATTCTTAGCGTCATCTGGTGGATAGGCTCGTTAGATAGACCGGTGAGGTTTGAATCTCGGTTAATTATAAATGTCGGTATAAAAGAATATGTTTTAGGCACGGTGTCTGCTCAAATTTGAAACAAAATATTCCCTTGGTTTTTCAGGAAATTTGTGAAAAATTCCAGATAAAATGAAAATATTGTAAAAACCAATATTCATCGTCAAGTCTTAAGACCATCTTAAATGAATCGTTTCGTAGCCAATGAAATGGACCGTGCAGCATGTGAGGTGAATCTAAACAGCATATAAGACCCGAATGTATCTTGTAAAATGAATATACAGGATGTCCCAAAAGACGCAAAAGTATAGAAAACGGATCGAATAATATCTTTATCTGTTGTCGGTACAAACCGAATTCAGCAAGTTCCCGTTCTCCGTGGAGGGAGAACAAACACCGCTGTCCCAGTTATGGTTCACGGCTGTCGCGAAAAATGACGGAGCGGCCGGACGCTTCGTCGCCGCATCGTAAATGTCAGATGGAGGGGATATGAAATAGCGCGTGTGGATCGAAGGAAACAAAAAGGCCTTTAGTTGCCTCCGAAGAGTCATATCACCAAGTTCCATCGTTGAATTATTATGCGACCGCATTATAATGGTATGTGATAGCCACTCGGTGTGCCGCTTGGACTTTGTGACCGACCTTATAGGTTAGACCGCTCCGGGATTAATAGCGCGAAGAAAAAAAAAGAGGAAGGTCACGATGCGGGCGGCTATCGCGGTGTTCTGCGTGTTCCTCGGCTGCTGCACCAACGTTGTGTTCCTGGAGCTGCTCGTCAAGTGAGTGCGACCCAATGACTCGGCATATCGTACGACTGGTTGCATAACAAGCGACGTGTGTGAATTGTGTCTATAAACGTCATCATGACTTAACGCCACTTTGTATACATCCGAGTTATTATTAAAAGATGAAATTTTGGAGAAATCTGCATGCAGAGTTGAAATCGATCTTTGGCCCTCAGGGACGATCCTGGTAGCGGGAATCTCATCACGTTCTCGCAGTTTCTCTTTATCGCTGTCGAAGGCTTCCTGTTCACATCGAAATGCGGCACCGTCAAGCCGAACATCGGCATAAAAGACTATTTTGTCCTGGTCACAATGTTCTTCGTCGCCAATGTCTGCAACAATTACGCCTTTGACTTCAATATTCCCATGCCGTTGCACATGATATTCAGAGCTGTAAGTAAGAATCGGTCCAGAATGTTGCGCGAGTCATCACGTGTGCATTTTCAGGGTTCTCTCATAGCCAACATGGTCATGGGGATAGTAATATTGAAGAAGAAGTACATGCTTAGCAAGTACTTGTCAGTGTTCATGATCACCTCAGGCATAGCGATCTGCACGATCGTCAGCGGCAAGGAGATCAAGTCCCTACGGCAGAAGGATATGGAGCACGTGCCCACGACACCGCTGGAGGATTTCTTCTGGTGGTCCCTGGGTATATCTCTGCTGACGATCGCTCTGTTCGTCTCCGCGAGAATGGGAATCTACCAGGAGGTGCTGTACAGCCGGTACGGCAAAAATGCGCGGGAGGCTTTGTATTATACGGTAAATGTTCGTCTCAAATCTAGTGGGAAAATTTTTCCTGAGGAAAACAACAACGTCGATTGTCCTTGCAGCATCTGCTACCCCTGCCATTCTTCATGACGTTGGCGCCCAACATCTACGAGCACTGGAAGTTCGCGTATGCGTCCGAACTGACGGAGCTGCCCCTGATCGGCTTGCACATGCCGAAACTGATCGTGTACTTACTCGGGAACATCCTCACGCAGTATCCTTTTTTCCTTTCGTTGCGTGGGAAATCATTTCCCGACCTTTTCGCGTGTTTTCTTCCTTAACCTCTCTCTCTCTTTCAGATACATGTGCATCAGTTCTGTGTTCGTGTTAACGACCGAGTGCAGCTCGCTCACGGTCACCCTGGTGATAACACTGCGGAAGTTCCTCTCCCTGCTCTTTTCCATAGTTTACTTCAAGAACCCGTTCACGCTGCACCACTGGATCGGCACGTTACTAGTCTTCGTGGGTACAGTCATATTCACGGAAGTGTTACCAAAGATTAAGCAAAGTCTGCAGCCCGTACCTAAGAAGGTGGATTAGACGCGGTGGAATTGAACTAAACGCCGTGATTTATATTATCTAATAACAAATTCGCGATAAACGGCACTTTAGAGAGATATCCTTCAATCGGATCACAAGGTGACCGTCGATTGGTTTGTATAAATCAATACGTATATGTTCCTGTAAAAATAGCGACAAGTAGTAGACAGAGATATTATCTTTGTTACCTCATTGCTATATTTTCATAATTAAATTGACGAATAAAGAGGAGTCGCATTCATTTTCATTCTTGATTGTTAAAAACGCGTCGTCGTCCTACTAAAGGGGATGCTGTGCTTGAAAAAACTTACTGATTTTTCTTTCTGCAAAGTTTACGCATCCTATCGGTCGCACAGAATTACAAGTGATTTTCTACGTAGCGGAGGTAACGCGCGAAGCATTGTCTGACGAAAACGATTAGAAATTTGAAAACTGAAATCTCGTCCTGTCGCGAGTAAACGTTTACCCAACATTTTGCAATTTTTACATGTGCGTTTGTTCCGATGAGGCAAATTTTGAACGACATTTCTGTGGTTATACGTGAAAAGTTTGCAGAAAAAATGTCATATATCTTGGTTAGATATGGTGAAACAGAATGTAGCGCACATTCATCTTATTCACACTTATATCGCACTACATTTACATGACCTGTATGTATATAAGGAACATAAACAGCGTGATCAGTTAACATAACGATCTCGAGGAAATCGCCTCTACGTCTTATCGACGCTTATCAAGTTCGTCAACGGCATCTCCTTAATCTTCTCAAATCGGCTGGATAAATCAGGGATATTGTCGCATCAGATTGCTGCGCATCAGATTGGTGATATCAAACATATTCAAGTTTAACGTTGCAGATGTATATATATATACAAGAATATATATACATATATATATATATATATTCTTGTCTTCCGGCATACACTTTTTTACAATAAATATATATTTCCTCTCTCTCTCTCTCTCTCTCTCTCTAGTAACAATTTTAAAACTCGGGGCACAGTGTTCGGGTGTCGGTAGAGTCGGTGGCTCAACTCAACTCGTTGTTCGGAAAATTCTCTCGGAAAGGCGGAGACGATTGCGGCGTGAATGCGGAAAGCAACAAAGCCGGTCGCGGAATCAAAATAGGTTGAGAAGAGAGAGAGAGAGAGAGAGAGAGAGAGAGAGAGAGAGAGAGAGAGGGAGAGGTAGCGTATCATTCGCCGAATCATCCCTTGGCGCACAGTCGCGTCTGTCTCAAGTGTGCTACCGTTTACCGTGTAATTAAAAAAAAAAAAATCCGTATTTACACACCGCCGTATATTCGTGTGAAAGGAAGATACACTCACTTGTACCGTATGTTACAATGGCACGAGTTAACTGTCCGCGCGTACGAGGCTGTCTAAATCAGCTCGTCGTCGAAACAAACGTCGTACACACACATACACACACACAACACAATCGTTCTTTTTTTTTCTCCACGATATAAATGTACAAAAATGTAAGAAAATAAAGCTAAAAATCCAAGAAAGCGCCAAGCACAGCCGAAGATATGAAAAACGGATCTCATCCCCTCGCGCGCACGAGACGCTTAACATTAAGGGTAAATTAACGTAATACTCACTTCTAGCCTATATTTCATATTACACTAATATATACTATACTGTATCGTTATATTAATTTCGCAATAATATATATATAGAAGGGGTACCTTCTAACAGCTACTATTAAATTGGTCAACGTACATGTATAAAATATTTCTGATTAACTTACCCTTGCTCGATCGAAAGGTCTACTCAACACAAGATACATATAATGTAAAGCTTCAATTGAATTACATTATAACATACTACACGTTTCTTTCTTCGTCGAGTGAATGAATCTCCCTCGAGTACAATTCAAGTAGACATCGTCGAAAAACCAATATAATTCTAGAGTGCTGGAAAATTATTCGCGATATATATAGAATGTTTTTGTCAAAACTGAACGTCTTGGAAGTATCCCGAAGGCCACGACGTAATCAATCGTATCGATCGTAAAACCGATGCTTTTGCAATTCTCTACAAACTGCACATCGTCGCGCAATAGTCGATCCGTCATAACGATGAGTCTGAAATAATAATCAGTTCATTAGAATAAAACCGACTCGGGCTTCTCCGCGACCTTGAAGATATTGGACAGCTCGTCGACCAGTGTTTCATAACGATAGGCCACCCGTATGTCCGGCACGTTGGTTCGCGTAATATCGTTACCAGCGACTCCTTCCTTCGTATAATTAGGTCCTAACCAGTATTGTTTGCTCTGCAAACGTATCGTAAACGGGATTCACTCGGTAATATTATAATTTCTCATTCAACAACGTATAATTATTATATACGTGTTGTTCGATGTGAAATCACGATAACACTGATGTGACATTAATTGGTGAGTACGGAATGCAGAATGGAAAAATGCGTCGCAAGGCAAACGCGTAAATTATCGGGACGGTACCCACCTTGTGCGGAAAGCCGCTCATGAGAACGGAATTGCGCGCCAGCTCGCACATGTCGCACGAGCTGAGCTTCCACACTTGCGCGGCGATACTGTACTCCTCCATCAGAGGCTCCTACAATTAATTACGCATCATCGTATCATATAATTCACACGATACGTGAGAGTTCTACGACGCTTTGTGTTCTCTCTCACCTTGGTGAAGTGAAATTGGAGAGGATCGTCCGTGGATAAGCTAATACACAGTCCTCTAGCAAGGTATTCCGGAAGTGGGTTACGATGGTAGTTCAGGAAAAGCGAGTTATTACTGAGCGGCGACATCGCGATGCCGATTTGCGCCAGGTAGTAGAGATATTGGAGCACCGGCACTTTTCTCAGCAGCAGACCGTGCGAGATATTCTCCGCCATCATGTAACCGCAAACGAGATGTTGAATGGGTCCAGCCTCGCCGCAGTGAGGTCTCAGGACGAATGTATTGAAGCCTTGTTCCCTGTGGATTTCCCGTCACATTATATCGATCGAGTTAGTCAATAATATGAAATAAATAACATTGCATCAATGCTATGATTTCCTGCACACAACAACGTAAAAGGGGGGGAGGGGAACTTTATAAGGAACGCAGATCCTTTGCTTTTTAGTAATTCTCAGGAGATACACTTTCCTGTTGTGTTGTTGCGGGACTCGTTGAGAAAAGTGTTTGAAATTTCTTGTAACCGACTGTGTGTTATATCGCACTTTGAGGTAGCGTTACCCGACGTTCGTTGGAAATTGAAATAACAAAGGTGGATCTAAGAGAACGTACGCTCTGAAGTGATTGAGGACAGTCATGTTCGCATAAGTGTAGTACTGGTAATATCCGTAAGGCGGGTTCTCGATGTCGTCCCACTCTGCGGGTGGGCAAACGTCCTTGTCGAAGAGAGGATTCTCCGGCTTGCTCTCGTCGTCCACGGAATCGAAGCCTATTACCTGCAAAGATGATATATCGCAACGACAGTTTCTCGACACGGCCGAACAAAAGAAACATACGTATTGGAGGAACTTGTGTAACTCCGGATGAGAGTTGGGATCGTTGGTCACCTCGAACAACGGCAGGAAGATGTTGTTGATGATCTCTTGGAAGTTCGTCATGAGCTTGTTCAGCTTGAAGATATCGCTATCGAATGGGAAGAAGGGTTAAATCTCTCTTTCAAATTCTTTCGATTAATTTCGCTACATAGTTATATGAGGAGAATTCGTTTATCAGCGATTCTCCGAAAAGTTATTCACCGAGCTTAATGTCTTACTTACTACAATCGAGGGATCTGTATGAGCCAGCGCACGTTGTCCGAGTAGACGTCGCTCTGGATCGCCCACTTGGCCAACTTGTCCCACTCTTCCGGGCTCTTGCCGTAAATCGAGAGACGCAACTCCGCGTTCTGATACTTGGACTCCTCGAGGTCACTCGCGACCTCTTTGATTATGCTGGCGAAGAATTTCCCGTTCAGATAGTTATCGGTCTTGAGGAAAACTTCTCGCAAGCGGCTCTCCCCGATCGGATTGTACTTCGCGTTGAACTTGTCGAATCTGTGGAACGTATTCCTGTCCTGCAAGGAAGAAGGGAAAGTTGTTGCGTCGCCTTTCTCATCATTTCCCGACACACACACTTACCGCGTGCACGTCTAGCATGTCGACGCTCAGATCGTAGGTCGTCAGATTCATCGATTGAAAAACTTCACGGAGCGTCATGGTTCCACCGCTCTTCGAACAGGTGACCACTTCGTCCGCGTGGTTCTTCAATGTTTTCTTGATGAATCTGAGCAGGTGCTTCTGATTCATGCAAGAGGCCGCGTGTATATGAGTGTCCACCTGTGAAATCAATCGTCATAGAAAAAATATAATCATTTTTAATCTCGTGAAAAAAAATACCTTTCTGATATTGTAGAAGTCCCTGTGAGGCACGGCCTTCTGACTCGCCAGCTCCCGCAGCTCGTTCAGCAGCACGTGCAGCTGATACTTGGAGGAGAGATAGCTCAGCCTGCGGTAGCAGAAGGACTTGAGGGGCCCGTCGGCGATCATCGCGCACAGCTGGTTCATGTCCCTGACGAAGGTGGCCAGGTCTGGGTACGAGTACGGGAGCGGCTTGACATCGGCCAGATCCTCCTCGTTTGCGAACACGTTGAAGACGCCGTTCACGGGCGCGATCGTATAGTTCTTCGACGGCGGGAACTCGCACTCCCACGGGTCGCCTCTGGACGCAGGTGCGTGCACCGGGTGATCTGGCATAATCGAAGGGAAGTTGTAACGCGATTGTTCGCAGCCAGCCCGTTGCCGCAGCGCTTATCATTCGATGCACGTACTCTACTCTTGCAGGCGCGCGAAAGAAAGTGCGAGAGAGAAACTCTACTGAAAAATGTGATCAAGTAGTAACGCGAAACAGCAACAGGAGAAACTCGAGGTTAAGGATATCTTTCCCTTAGGAAATATATATAAAAGTGACTTTTGTGTACGTCACTGGAGATCAATACGCTAAGTAGTGTGGTAAACTCTATACGTAAAGCTGTTTTATATGAGCTCCGTGTGTCCGTGGAGGACACACCGCTGCTTGTCTTGGTGAGAGAGAAAAGGAACACAGAGAAGAAGGATAGAGAAAGTTTACAGCACGATACACACAACGCGACGGTTCTTCGGCGTCTGCTGAAGCAAAAAGCGCTGATGTTAATTACGCGAGAGAGACGTGAAGGATGCGAGGTAATGTTATCCGATCATTACCTTCGATGGCCTTGCGATCCTCGTGATGAACTTCGTCGTCCGTGGTGAGCGGTCTCTTGTCGACACTGCGCAAGAATCGCGATGTGATGGAGGGAAAGCTCTGTTTGGAGTTGTTCATGTATTTCTCGCGTATCGCCAAGGCCTGCACCAGCATCTGGGAGGACCTTTGAAGATCTTCCAGAGGTACCTGCCAATGTCGTTTTAATCAAATACAATCGATAGATATTATTCGCTCCAAATTAGAGTATAATGCGGGGAGAAAGGGGGCGGATTTCTCGCCCAAGTCCGCAGTCCCAAGGTTTCCACTCGACGCAAAGTCGCACATGACGTAACGCCATCCGAGAAACCATAAAGCTGATTCGTAATTATTTCACGGAATAGAAGTAACGCATTTAACGAACTGTTATAAAGATCGCTCATGAATTCCACGGATCCTCGACGGAGGAGACGAAGGAAAGGAAAGGAAGGAGAAACTGTCTTACCCCGGAAGTATCCTCGCCGGATATGGAGACTCGCTGGAAGTGGGGCACGAAGTCATTTTCCTCGAGATTGAAGGTATGATCGACGTCATCGGGAACTCCGGGCTGAAGCGACGGTTCGTAGTGACTGCGACGTTCCTCAAGGTCCTTCGCAGCTCTGTCGTGAGAAAAGAAGATCGCTTGGTCTAAGGGTGCATTAAGAAAAAAAGAAAAACCTATCGATGTGAAATCCTTTGAAACTAACGACGACAAGGGAAAAGAATGACGCGTTTCACGAGGTCGCGATACTTGGCGAACTTTCGACTCGAGGGTTATCGACGTATCGAGTTGAGACCCTGTTGTGTACACACGCATGTATTATGCTGCACCATTCCTCACACTGAGAAAAAGATATCTTCAGATTTAACCAATTTTATCGCATCCAAAGAAACGAACGTTTCGATTAATAAGTACGATTGTTAGACTTTTCAACGAATATGGTATCTTAAATAAAAAATTTGTCTGTGAAACAAAAGATAATTTTCTTCTAAAGAAATTATTTATCGTAACCAAATAATATTTTATATGACATCGACTGTACACCAAAAGCAAGACGCTTTAATTAACACATCACTCGAGATGCTCCGCCCCCATCGACATACGTATCGCCAATCGAATATTTCCTCATGTCCGTGACATCACAAAGTTGCCGAGAGATATCATGCTGAAATAAGTAAAACAGTGTGCGATGTGTCAGAGAGAAAAAATCGAACAATTTATTCGAACGGCAACATCGGTCTTTCCGCGATCAACAATAATGAACCGAAACTAATCACTATTAATGTCGTGTTATTAATTAATTAGTCGCGCCTATTATTGATACAGTAATTACAACATTATTTTGTAATTACACGACGTCTCAGCGACCAGATCGATATTACAAATAATCCACACTCGCGTGTGATTCGGCTTGATGGGCGCGCAAATGTGTTGAGGTGGCAGTAAATGAATTTTTTGGAAGAATTCGTTGAAACTTGTACATATAGATTTAAACACGACCTAATTATCGGCGCAATTAGAAAATGATTGCTGCCATTCGAAAGGTAAGATAATAATACTTTTTGCACCTTGTGTTCCTTGAGACTAATTTAACTTCTATTTTTAATTTCTTCTAAACCACACTTAAAATCCCAATGAAAAACTACTGCGATATTAATACAGAGACATTAATAATTTCAGAATTATTGACCATTTTGTTTTGGTACAGCAATGTAAAGTTCATAATTTATAATAATACTCGAAATGATGCATATACACATTTAAATCTTTTTCTTTTTGTATATCTCTGTTTGATCAACTAATGGACAAAAAGCACATTAGTGAGAGAAATAATATTTGTAATATTGTACACACACGTCGTTTCAAATGAACATTTAGATAGTGAAATGTGTGTACAGGAACGCAATTTCGCTTGACAAGTGCTAAATCTACGAACGCTTGATGCGCCACCTGAGAAGTACTAGCACTGCCTTAAATATATGTGGTCTGTTCTTTACAACTGAACCGGGGTGCAAATAAGTCAAAGCGAGACAAGTTTATTTTACTTTCGCGATCGAAGAATTACCTCAGAAGGATCCTATTATCCCTCGTCCATCGTTTCGACTCGCTCGCGCCCGCGAACATGATACGTATGAGTTCCTTCTCTACCGCGCCACCCTCTATTCTCATTTGGCGGGATCGTCTCTAACGGCGTTTCCCGATCGCGACGAATCGTCGCCGGCAGATCTGCGCGGATCTACGCGGAGACCGGATGTGATCTCCGCGATCTGTCATGATTGGAACAGCCGATAAGTTCCGTTCACGGATGGGAGCCCCTTCACCGCAGGCTCTTTCCGCAGTCTCGCGCATATATTTCACCACGTTGCGCGTCCTGCCGAGCGTATTTCATCACTGAAATAAGGGGAGGAAATACGCTCGTCCTCCTTGTGGTCCACAGCTTGCTCCAGGTGTTTTATCGAAATGAGAGGGGCACGTTCTTCTCGTGCACACAGACAAATATTATACTTTTGCCGCGAAAAGAAGAATTGATATGAAAATATATACCGGTCGCGAATATTAAAAAAGCTGATTATCATTTACTCAAAAGAAGAAGAATTTGTTCTCTCCTTCCGAGAAACTTTGTCGAAGAGAAATTGCAAATTAGGTCAATTGCGGAATAAACTGAAGTTTCAGTGTTTTGACGCTTTAATTCAATATTCTCGAACTTACCGAGATCCGGAATATATTTTGAATAGTGAAAATTGGATGAGCATAATTGCGAGTATATATAAACTTAAATAGGAAATATTTATTTAAACGTGTATTTTTCCAGATAAATTTAATTCGTCACTCTCAATCGAAAAAAAATATCGCGTCCACTGAACAAATTACGCACCACAATACGTTGCATTGGTACAGTTGCCAAGCAAAAACCGCGTGTCGTTGAATCGATTGAAAATTCATCGCAGCAACTGCACGATCAGTGGGTGAAACGTTGCGCTGGAAAACATTTTGTTCGTCTCAAGCTAAATTTCGTTGGATTCTTTTTTCTCTCCGGAAGAGAGACGCGGAAATTTAAATTCGCGTACAACCGAGCCGCGGCTAATTTCCGGGCGAATTCGCTCGACAAATAGTTCGCGGCGGAAAGTGCGACAAAATTTCCGCAGCGTAATTGGCGATAAACGTCCTTCGGCACGATAAATCTATCGCAGGTAAAAAGCTCGTTGTGTTTCGCGAGCGCTATCCGAATCGCGTATTGCGCGTTTCTGCGTCATCCGTGACGCGGTGTTTAAATGTAAAGCGCGCGCGAGAGAGATAGCGAAGCGACCCTCCTCCTTCGATCGACTCGCTCGGCAGCATAGCGCCGCAGATCTCGTTCGTGCGAGGCGTCGTTCACCGAAATTCTCGATTTACCGTACGTCCTCTTGCGCCACACTAATGCATCGTCGAAAGCACCGAGCGGAAACGGTTAATTCATCGAAATGAACGAGTGCGTTAATGCGGAGAGAGATTTCGAAGGAACGCTCGTCCGTATTCAAGAGGATGACGCCAACAGCAGAGAGGAAAATCGCATTTTGCTGATTCTTCGTCTCCTCACGCGACGCAACCACGGTTGAAACCACACACACACCGTGAGCGAAAATTTCGATCTCGCCCCGGTGTGAACGATACCTAAGCCCTCGCACGCGCGTGTGCGAGTGTCACGCCGGAAATCCGCGCGTACACACACGTCCGGTATCAACGACGGTCGCACGAGCACTGAACGGGCGGCGGAGGAGGGCCGAGCAACCCCTTCCTTTCACCC